AGAAACTTTCGGTCGATCTCTTCGTTTGTTCTTTTTTGATTACTTACGAACTAACAAGAAGTTTACCGGCAACTTCAGTCAATTGTGGATTAACAAATGTACGTGCATAAGCAATATAATCTCGAAGTAAATCAGTATCCTTTAATAAAACAAATAATTTTTATTGAACAAAACGAAATGTAAATTTACCATAGCTTCATGAATAGCTTCAATTTCTTTTCCATATTGATACCATGATGCTAAATGTTGTGCTAATCGTCTATCATATGCTTCATCTTGTGGATCAAGTAAAAGAAAAATTAAATCGAAACGTGATAATAATGTTGGTGATAATTGTATATTTTCAATTATGGTTTTTGATTTATTCCATTGAGATTCAATTGGATTAGCAGCAGCTAATATAGATGTACGAGCATTTAATGTACATATAATACCAGCTTTAGCTATTGATAATGTTTGCTGTTCCTGAATAATAAAATGCAATATTTTAAATAAAAAAAAAAAAGAAAACAACATGCAATATTCAAACATACCATGACTTCATGAAGAATTGATCGAGCACTTTCACTCATTTTATCAAATTCATCAATACAACAAATACCATTATCAGCAAGAACTAAAGCACCTCTAAAATATACAAGACAAATAAAAATATTTAAAAGGAAAAAAAAAACGAATAAATGTTTATTCTTACGTTTGAAGAACAAGTTGACCAGTTTCAGGATCTTTTGTTACATAAGCTGTTAGACCAACAGCACTTGTACCTTTACCATTTGTATATTGAGCACGTGGTACTAATCGAAATATGTATTGTTGTAATTGTGATTTAGCTGTACCAGGATCTCCACAGAGTAATATATTTATTTGAGATCGACAACTTTTTCGTCCAGCATCAATAAAAGACTTTTTTGTTCCACCAAATAATTGTAATAAAATACCTTTTTTTATATCTTCAAGTCCAAAAATACTTGGAGCTAAAGAAAACAAAAGAAAATGAAACATATATATACAAAAGAAAAGTATACCAATTGCATTCGATAATAATTCATAAATATCTGAACGTTCAGATAAATTACGAAATTGTGCTAAACGTTCTTTCGAAAATTTCGATGAACTAAATTAAGAAAAACAAATTTTTCAATGAAAATAAAAAACATTCTATTCTTTTTTTGTTACCTTGATTCTTCATCATCGTTTGTTGTTTGTTCATCAAGTCCACCTACGGCTGTAAAGGTTTTTTGACGACGGAAATGTATAACATCAATGAATGTACGATAAACAGATCGAACGTTTCGTGTTTTAGGATTTATACGAACTGGTACTGCACGAAATATACCAGTGACTTGAACACTAAAATAGGATAGAAGGAACTATTTTATATGCATGAACTAATGAATCATTCGATGCATTCGTGACATATGTCTTATTTTGATATTTTTTAAAATATGAATGTGACTTATTTGTAATATTTTTCTTGTTTGAATGTTTACTTCACGTTTACCAGTAGTTATTGATTTAAAAACTGAATGTTCACTAGCTATGTTATGTGGAACATGATGAATATCAGATGAGCTGGTCAGAGAAAGAAATATACTATCTCATAAATCCTGAAATACTTTATTAACAATGAACTTTTATCAAAGAAACCTATACATCATATTCAAAATGCAAAGATTTACGGAAAAAGTTAAATTACTTTTTGCTGTCCTCTAGTATCTGAAAACTACCATGTTTGACATTGGAAAAATTTGCGTCTCATAAATTTACACTCTTCTCTTGATTTCGACATTGTTAAACATTATCTTCTTTTTTGATACAATAAAATTTTTTCTTAATATACATACCGATCACCAGGTTGTACTGCATCAACTAGATCATTATGTGCTACAATTGTTACAGTAATTGGTGTCTGTCCAGCAGGCATTTCCTCTAAAGTAAAACTAAATATAACTACAAACAAACAAAAGCAAAGCAAAAATTCACCTGGTGTTTCTTGTAATTTAATAAATTGTTTGTCAGCAAATAATGATCGATTATGAATAAGGTCAAATGAATGTGCTGTATTACATGATGAACAAATAGTTGGTTCAGCAATTCTTCCACGATCAATTTCAACTTGTACATGAAAACCACATATATTACATGAAAAAAAAGCTGCACGCATTTCAGGCATTATTAATGACGATCGAATAACCATGCCTGTAAGACTAACTAATTTATCAATATCTAAATATAAAATTTCAAAAATTTGAAATAAAATTATTATTATACATTAATTTCAAACCTTCAGGATCAAGACAACGCATATTTTTAAACATGTCAACATTATATGGTCGTACTTGAATTTGATGTGGAAGTGTATCATTTTCATAAATAGTAAAAAATAATTCATTAACAGCTATATCAAATATTGGTATAACTTCTTGTGGATATGCAATTAATTGATTTAACATTGTTTTATCAACTTGTTTAATATGTACACAATCAATATTAAGGAATGGACGTTCAAGTAAATGAATTTCTTCTAATTTTTGCATATAAAATGGTTTTGTTGGATCAACACCTTCAAGATTAGCTTCTTCAATATTTAAATGAAACTTTTTTAGAAATGCTATAAATCGACGTTTACATTCATTAACATGTACATCTGTACCCCAAATAACGACTTGATTATCAGCTGTATTAACATCAATATCACCTTCCTAAAATAAAATAATGTTGTTTTTTTTTTTAAAAAGAATATTCAAATTTTATAAACTCACTAATTCATCTTGTTCATTAACTAAACGTAATTTTCGCGCGCTACCAAGATCGGATCTAGTTCGTGAGGGTGTTGACATGGGTGTACGACCATTAGCACCTATGTTACTTTGTGCAGGAGATGTTGTATATGTCATTGGTGAAAATGCCATGGCTAAAAAAGGAAATTTTCCTTTATAGAATAATATGAAATCTCGTAAAATAAACCTCGATTTTTATTAGGAGTTCGACCAGGTGTTAAAGGCATTTGTAGAATAGAACTTGGTGTTGGACTAGTAATTGGTTCATCTTCTTGTAAAGATGTTAATGGATGTCGATGTTTAACAGCTAAACAAAAATGTTTAATTTATTAATGAAAGAATGTAAAGTTTATTACGTGTTCGTTGTGTGGAACCCGGTGTTTGTTTAGCTGGTGTACGACGTTGTTTTGATGGAGTAGCCATCTAGAAAAAAAAATTATATGATTGCAGTTAGTTTTTCTTATAAGATGCCAATTGTTTAAGAAAAATGACAATTCGAGACAATCTTTGATGTTTTTGACATTGTCTCATTTCTGTATGAACTATGCAATGCTTGATACCATAACAAAAAATGTGCGAAAATAGCCATTCAATTATTATATAAGACCGCAAACAAAGGACTTAGGTGACAAGAGTAATAATTTGAAATATTTTTCAGTATTGATTTATTATTAATCTTGATTCATTTTTACAATTATTTCTTATACATATTTATATATATGCATTTTTGAGAATATGATTAAGATCTATAAAAGAGAAAGAAAGAGGTCGCACGTTTCTCTTGTCGATAATATGTGAAAACACTGCGAAATTATGATATGCGAGTTGCACGACGCAGAAGTCAGAAATCGTGATTCATTGTCTTGATTATTTTGTATGCAAAGTTAGAAGCGAAGTGAAATAAGTTTGATCAGTTTCGATACTAAATTACCATGTAAGAATTTGATCAGAGAAAATTTTGAAACTTTAATTTTTTAGATCTACAAAAAAAAGATTTCACTTCTCAAATAAACAGTGTTTCTTCTTCCAAAATTTAGTTGTTCAATACTGACTTTTGGTTCACTGGTATGATAATTTTGCGTATATATTTGTATCGCAACTATGCGTGTGCTACAAATTAATAAAATATAGGTTCAGTTAGAAAAATTTTACATAGAAAAAGTTTGCATCAAATTCGACTTTTCTTTTTCTCATTCACTCTATGACGTGTTATAGCTTTCTTGTTGCTTGTGTTAGGTGCATAATTCCATTTTCTATGAAAAGATACCACTTTCAATAAGGGTCATCAGGCAACCGGTGGAGACTTAGTCCTAAGCACTGCAATTCTATATCCTATTTTTATTCCCTTTTGATACTAAAGCTTGTCCTAGTTCGTCTCAAAGCTTCTCTTAACTTTCTAAATGATTGTGTTCGAGACAAAGTTTGATTCTTTATCGAAATGTACCATTTTCGATAGAGATTAAGTCGTCATTGAATTTGTTCAACATGTCATATCCATATTCCCATTACAAAACTTGTACATGTAACAGAGTCCTATTATAACATCCGAGTATTTCTAAGTTTTCAGAAATATAGCTTGAGTTATGGGAGATCCAATTATACCATTGGATAGATATCATCAGAGTGCGCTTGCAACATGAATGTAAGATCTCAAACAAGTTCCTTTGAGAATCTGACACGGATACACTCTAATCCAGACCTGCTCAGAAAGAGCAATTTCAGATTTGAATCTCGTCGGCTTGCGTAGAGTTCCTAAAATAACTTGATAAATTTCAATAGAATACTATTGAAAGTTGTCAAATTACATGTGGATGTGAGTGAAGGCGTGGATGGATGGGTATGAATATTTTCTCTTTTATACTCGTACTCATGCTCTTGATTGTTATTTTATTGCTAGCAAACATTGAGGCAGACGTTACTCTTTGCTAATAAGGCCTACAGCTTTCCAACAAAATTCATCAGTACAAAATAGTTATCTCTCTTTTTTTTGTCCTCTGTTTCTATATTTACTTATAGAATTGTAGGTTAGGTTCATTCTGTTAAAAGCATAAAAGTACAGACCACAGAGTTATCATACACCTATGTAAAGAGAAACACCGCTTATTACTATACGTTTAGCAACCAAACAACAGTTAGCTATTCTAACTCAAACACCAAGTAGTGCAGATTTTTTCACACCACATGTCTTTTTCAATTGCAATTTTTAGGAAGAATTCAATAATGCCAATTGCAAATGTGCGAGGTCTTCATCTTCATTATGACGTGGTCGGACAATCCGGCCCATGGATTGCATTCATGCCGGGTGGTCGAAAAGCAGGGCACGAAATCCAGTCTCTGGCGAAGAAGATCGCTAGTACAGGCTACCGTGTACTGCTTCATGACAGGCGGAATTGCGGTGCATCCGATGTGATGATCGAGGGCGATCAGCCCGAATACGAAATCTGGGCTGATGATCTTTATGAATTGTTGAAACAACTCGATGCATTTCCGGTAATCATTGGTGGTTCATCATCGGGCTCTCGGACAGCATTAGTTCTGGCACTCAAACATCCCGAGTTGATCCGTGCATTACTGCTTATGCGTGTCACAGGTGGTTCCTTTGGTTGTACATTATTAGCAGAAGAGTATTACGGCAAATTCATCAGAATCGCTGAACAGAATGGCATGGCTGCGATTTGTGAAACCGATCACTTTGCAGCGTGTATCATGGCACGACCTGTTAATCGTGAACGACTGATGTCGATGGACGCTGCCCATTTTATTTCAGTGATGAAGAACTGGAGCCGTTATTTCATCAATGGTATCGATCAACCAGTTCTTGGCGCAGATGAAGATCAACTTCGATCACTTCGAATACCCACGTTCATCATTCCAGGAAATGACAAGACTCACCCTCGCGATGTGGGCGAAAAACTCCATCAACTTCTTCCATGTAGCAAAGTATCTATTGTCATTGATGAGCAATTAGATGTTGATTATGCGCCTTCCGAAGATTGGGTAGCGCAATATGACATTTTGGCAGAACGTTTTACAAATTTTATCGTACGAAACACGTAACTCTTACACAAGCATTGCTTAAAGTATTTCTGCATTGTTGCAACTTTGTACAGCTTGATTGGAATCAGAAGAGGCAATAATCGTAATCGAACCAAACAGCTATGAAAACAAAATAATATCGACGAACAATCAACCAAGCCATTTCAAATATTTTCTCTCTCAGCAATTTCAATTTTCACTGTATATTTTGTGTGAATAAGTTTAAAACCAAAACACATGTCAAATAGATTTCGTCAATCTGAATTTCACCATTGAATAATTAAAAACTTCGAATGTGCAAACGGTATCGAAAAAGGGCTGCTGCTGTCTACTGGCTACTAAAAGAATAAAAGTTGTATAGGCATGGTGGCACTTTATCTCCTTGTAGTAGGAAAGGAGACTTCCATCGCGCGACTTTAAGCAAGCTCATTTTAATAAATGATTTTGCCAATGATACGCTTTCTTTCTTTTCTTGATATGTCATCTTCTCCTCTGCATATCTTGTTTTCACCTCTGTTGATTTCTGATGTGTCATCTCCTTGTTCCCATCGCTTGTTTTTATCTTTCTCCATCAGCTACTATCTGTTACTAATTAGTTTATCAGTTATCGCTTCTCTCCTAATACTTCGATTATGGGTGCTGGTGTGAGTGTATCAAGAAAACTATGATGTGTTTCGACCTTGCTTAAGGGTCTAATCGGATGGCTTATACAAAATATATGTAGTTGATTGATGTTCACATGATAAGGAAAGTAGATAATATGCATCCGATCTGTATAGATGTTTCTGAGAGTGAAGGAGGGTGTAGTCGGAGCCTAATTTTTATCAATTCTGGCAGTTTGTTATCTGTGTGACTGGTTGATCTATTGTACTGTTCATTGAAGGATATGGAGAATTTCGACGAAAATTTTTATGGTTTCAAAAGAAAATGAACACCTAATTGCGTAACTTCGTTAGATATGTCTTCATTAGTTTATTCGCTATTACTGTTGCTATGGACTGAATGAAATGCTGTCAGTGTCAAGTGTTAAGTTATTATTCAGATGGATCCAATGAATTTGAATATTTCTGGTCAGCTTGAAGTTTTCGTATTCTTTTCCTTATTTATTGAAATTGTTAGAAGATCGAAAAAATGCATGATCATAAATTGGTATGGCTGTGGCTGTGGTTCTTCAATATATTCACACATCCACTCATATCCTCACTCACACCCACACCCTAATATGTCAAAAGACAAAAATATTATTATTTATGATTTTATACGATTTACACCATACAGTTTGTTTTTCTTCAAAAATGAGTTGAAAAATTTCTAATGGAAAAAATTGTGGATTCATGAAGTTTACGTCGTTGTAGTTTGACAAATAGTAGATGATGTATTCTACGTTTTAATTTATTTAAACAATATCATTGTTATTTTGTTTGTTGAACACAGATGAATGGTTCACGGCGGATACTGATCAATAATCAAATAAGCGTAACATCCAAATATATGAACCGTTGAAACAGAAGAAAAATATTTTACATTTTTGGTCGTCTCCCTTAATGTTTCTCGGTACTGTTAACTGAATTTTTGTTGTTGCGTTATATGTATAAGAATCACACAATCTCATATTTTATTTAATAGATTGTTCGACTTGAATATCAGTCTAAAAGATTAGAAGATAAAAAATATCATCTACAAATCGAGAACTCAAAAGAAGTCAACTAATAAATAACTCATCGCTGTTCATAAAATCATTTTCATGTCATAATATATAATGTTTCGAAATGAACTAGATTCAAACGTTTCACATCATTCAATTGATCTAATCTTCAGGACTTTTTACTGAACTCCCACAAAAAGCTGCTAAGAAAGCTTTGCATACATTAACGATACTTTCGCTGATATCACGCAAAGACACGAAAACGATAACATACTAATTTCATGATATTGTTTCATATACTATAATACCGTACTATCTTGTTATTTTACAATCAATAGGATCAATTGCATCTTCAAGTTTATCAAATATTTCAGTGACAGATATCCAATTTGGGGTGTGGGTGCGAGTGTGGTGCTGGGTGTGAAGGGTGAGTTAATGTGTGAATAGATTAAAGAACCATAGCCACATCCACACTAACGCTTACACCCGCACCCAAACCATTTTGTCGCGAAAGCCGCCCATGACCGTAACAACTGTTCAAAGAAAAAGCTCTTTTAGACGTAAAAACACCATAACATATTGCTGAAATAACACATCAGAGTTCTTAGGTCAGGTTGTGATGGTATAGTTGTTAATTTATCATGTTGCAAAAGAAGTTTTAATTTCACTTTATATCTTGTTCGATAGGAGCTTGTTTAATTTAGTATTTGTAGAAAAGAGCTAGCAAATCCCTACTTCATGTTTTTTTCCGACATTTTAGCTAGTAATAGCGACAAAAGTTTCCAATTGATGAGGGCGGCCGAGGAGTCGTACCTCTGATATCCTACCGGTCAGGTCATTATTGATTATGGTTCTCGAAATACTCGTCTATCTCTCATCGTCTTTTATTCTGTCGCACATATTATTAATATTGCCATCTATTCAAGACTTTTGCTTTAATTTTCCACAATTGTTAAGCTAATTTGTGCTAAACATTAAATAAGTTAAATCATACGTAGTGTCGTAATAGATACTTAAAAATCGTCAACCATACAGAATATCTTATTTACTTTTACACCCATTTGGAGTTTTTTAAAAGAAGTATTTTCTTCTATACTAGAAAAAAAATCGAATAAGGCTCTTATTTTTCCAACTTACAACGACTATCGAAAATATATAAAAAAAATATTGTAACTGTATGTTGTCGATAACATTTTGCTTCTTTTCTTCCCTTGCACGTGGTAACGCGTTAAAAGTACTGTTTACGAAAAGTAAAATATTTGCACAGCAAGAGAAAGTAAAAATTTCCAACTTGAAGTGTATTTATATTAACCTCCTTCACAATAACTGACCATATGTCCATATCCACAACTATGTCATTACAGTCTTGTACGACTAATAACTTAATTATTATTTGGTTAGATGCACATTTTCATATTTTTAATAAGAATACACAAAAAGTCATAATTAAACTTCAAAATATTGTCAATTGTATCAAAATATTTACTGATGCTGATGAATGTATTGGTTTTGTTCATAATATTAAAGATAAAAAAGTATTTATGATTATTTCTAATACTTTCAATCAATACTCTTCTCTTTTTCTCCATCTTATCGAAGAGATGGTTCAAATTTATTCGATGTATATTATTGGTGATCATCAAGCAAAATATGAACAATATAAAAAACTGAAAGGTGTATTTACTGAAATTGAGTATATTTTTGATTCATTGAAACACAATGTTCAACAAGGTGAGAGCAGTCTCGTATCCACTCGCACGGATTCCACCAATCTTGATAAACTTAATCCATCGTATATATATTCTAAATTAATCATAGAAATCATTTTAAAGATCCAATATGACGAAGAAGCAATGAAGATATTTACCAATTACTGGCGTGAGCAATACACTGGTTCTAGTTCACATTTGAAAAGGATTGATGAATTCGAAAGACATTATAAAGATCAATCACCCGTTTCGTGGTATATAAAAGAATTCTTCTTGTATTCATCTCTCAATAGAGCTTTAAGGTTATTAGATATCGATATGATAATTAGGATGGGATTTTTTATTCAAGATCTTTATCGAGAAATGGAACGCCTGCATTCAGAGGCTCAATATACGGACAAAATAATCGTTTATCGAGGACAAGGCTTATCAAATGCCGATTTTGAAACGATAAAAAAAGGTAAAGAGGATCTTCTCTCCTTTAATAACTTTTTATCGACAAGTGCTGATCGAGATGTAAGCTTGATGTTTGCAGACAGCGCTCGATCAAATCTTGATATAATAGGAGTTCTATTTCAAATGGAAGTCGATCCATCTATTTCGTCAATTCCATTCGTTCAAATAAACATCTTCGATGAAGATCGAGAGATTCTCTTTTCAATGCACACTGTTTTCCGAATTAGTGATATCCAACAAATCGACAATCAGTTATGGCAAATAAAGCTAATATTAACGAGTGACACTGATTCACAATTGGAATGTTTGGCCGACTATATTCGGAATGAAATTGAGGACGAAAATCCTTTAAATCGTTTAGCCTTATTAATGAACAAAATGGGTCATTTCGATAAAGCTAAAGAAATCTATACGACCTTGCTAGAAACTACATCTTCAGCTACAAATTATAGCAGTATTGGTTTGATATATCAATCAATGGGAAATTATTCTACCGCATTGTCTTACTATGAAAAGACGCTTGAAATTGATAAAAACTCTCTTCCATACGATCATCCATCGTTAGCCATTACATATAACAACATTGCCGGCGTTCATCAATCCATCGGAAACTATTCATTGTCACTCTCATTTTATACGAAAGCACTCGAAATTAAGCAGAAGAGTCTTCCACCAAATCATCCATCATTGGCAACTACCTACAATAATATCGGCGAAGTGTATAGTTCAATGGGCGAATACTCTAAAGCACTTTCATTCTATGAAGAAGCATTAAAGATTCAGCGAAAATACTTTCCGTATAATCATCTAGCGTTGGCTATTACGTATAACAACATTGGTTCAGTACATCGATTACTAGGAAATACTTGCATTGCAATCGAGTTCTATGATAAAACACTTGAAATCGAGCTTCATTATCTTCTACCCAATCATCCATCATTGGCTATTACTTACAACAACATTGGTCTTTTGCATAGCTCCAAAAAAAACTATCCAACTGCTCTTTCTTATTATGAAAAGGCGCTTGAAATTGGACACAAAACCCTCCCATCGGATCATTCATCGTTAGCTTTACTCTATAATAACATTGGTGAAGTTTATGATTCAATGGAAAATCATTCAGTAGCGCTATCTTTCTATGAAAAGTCACTAGAAATTCTACAGAAATCGCTTCCACCTAATCATCCAGAATTAGCTGCTGTTTATAACAATATTGGCGAGGTATATCGATCGACAGGAAATTATTCAAGAGCATTGTTATATTATGAAAACACGTTAAAAATTGAACAAAAAGCTCTTCCATTGAATCATCCATCGTTGGCCATTACCTATACCAATATGGCTGTAGCATTAGAAGATCTTCAGCGATATAACGAGGCTATTGAACTTACAGAACGAGCTGTTGATATTATTCGTCATACCTTTGAATCCAATCATTCAAAAACAAAAGAAATTCAAAATTACCTAGACAAACTTCGAAAAAAACTTTAATATAATATCGCACATTTTTTCTGTTTCTTTTATTCAAACAAAATTACATTAAATCAATCCAGAAGAGTATGCCATGTATAGATTTTTAACTGGATCGTCATGAGTGATAAAAAGTAGACAGAGAGAATCCTCGTGGTTTAATGGTCTCCCTTTGTCAAAAATTTTAATTTTGGTCAAAAATATCGATTTTTGAGCTTTCTCTATAGTCGAATAGTCAACATTTTCTACTTCCAGAATCGATATTATTCTGGATCTTTACGATAGATTCGATAGCTTTTTTGGTATTCTGCATACACTCACATCTACATCCGCAAGGTTTGTATCGAACACAAGCGACTTGAAAAGTAACACAGATCGTAGAGTGAGTTTGAAAAGAAAAAGGTTGAATCTAGTGCTAATTTGGCTATGTAAGAGTTCTTCATTTGATGAAGTTTTTTATGTTTTATAATACAATCGTGTTAAACTCACTTGATAGGTATCGCTTTTGTTCACCTAAAACATATCAGATGTCATAATACAGGTATTACCATTGTTGCACAAGAAAATTATTCACTTTAGTGTACAGAAGAAGACAACATTTATTACGAACAAATATTTCCAATTTACTCCTTTGACGAAATCAAAAAGCTGTGTAGTCCATGTAATGCATATTACTTTCAGTTTTTCTTGGGATCTTTCTCAAAAAACGAAAAACAAAAGTGTGATGAAAATGTTCTTTGTCTTGTATATATTGAACATGTTTTAATGATAATTGTAAGAGAAATGTTTTTTTTTACAAAAGAAAAAGTTAATCTTTAAAACTTTTGAACGCTGATTTGTTTGCATATTCATCTTCAAATTTAACCATTTCCAATGCTAATCGATCCCGTAAACTAATTAATTTCGTATCTAAATCTGATTGTTGATTTTTAAATCTTTGTCGTTGTGCTTTAACAGCATCATTAATAGCTCGAAAATCATATAATACAGCTTGATCTTTTAAATCCGAAACAAGTTTAAGCAATGATTCAAAAGCACGAACCTAAATACATCGTAAAATAATACAAAAAACAAATGAAGATCTTCAAAATTAATCCTTTCTTACCATATTATAAGCTCGTACACGCATTTCAAAATCATCAGTTGTATTTGTTAATGATCTTGGTAATTGATCTTTTATTTGATTTGATTGTGTTTCTTCAACGCGAATAAGATTAATAATTGCAATAAAATTATCTAATATCGATTGAAGATTATCTTTTGCTTGTTTATGAAAAGCAGCACCTTTAACATTTGTTGTACGAGTTCGACTATCCATCTTCAATAATCAAACAAATTAACTTTTTTCCTCTATATGTTTATTTCTAAATAAGTTTGTTCAAAGTAAAATAAAACAACAAAAACAAAAAGCATGAATATATAGTTTAATTGAGAAAAAAAATACAGATCTACATGAGGCACATCTACTTTCGAACAGAAAAACAGAACAAAAGAAAAAGAAAAAGAAATCAAATGAGGTTTTTTCAATCAGAACACTGAGACATCATGATTAGAATTGTTTGTTCCATTGGTACCATTATTGTAATTATTGTCATTGTTTGTTGATGACAGAAGACTTTGTAGATTAGATGTTGATTCATTTTTACCATTATTTAAAACTATAAAATAAAATTTTATATAAAAATATGATTCACTATTAGCGACCACATAAGGTACGGGGGGCAGGTTATATATTTATGTTCGACAACAGAAAAACAGACCTGAAAAGATGGAGGAAGCATTCCTGTTGGTGCTTTATTTTTTATTCGGTTATTAAATATAGAGAACAAAAGAACCGAAAAAGATTATCTTACCAGCACGTTCAAGATTAGTTGATGATGGTGCTTTTGCTTGCATTTGCTGTAAACGTCGCTCTTTTTCTTTACGCTGTGAAGAAAAAAAAAAGCTGATTTTTATTTCATGTTGTTGTTTTTGTTTTACCTCTTGTCGACATTTATAAGCATTACCAAGTAAACGAAGTTCTTCACATAATGCTTCATAACGATATGCAATACGAATAGCTGGAACATTAGTTCGACGTATATCATTACCAGCTACACCAGATTCTTGATAATCTGGTCCAAGCCAATACATTTTAACCTGATTAATTCAAGAGAAAAAAAAGAAACACACGAGAATAAAGCTCAACTTTTTTTTAAAAATTTTATACTTCATGAGAAAAACCACTCATTAAAACAGAATTTCGAGCTAATTCACACATATCAACTGATGATAATTTCCAGACTTGTGCAGCAATTGAATATTCTTCCATTAAAGGTTCCTAAATAATCATCATAATTAGAAAACAATATATTGATCAAAATTAAATCAAGTTTTAAAACTGTTTCTTTTTTCAATCATTCATTAGAATAACAAAACCAGGTGCAAAATAAACATGACTAGGATTTTCTCAATTAAGTTAAAAAATTCATTCTTTAATGTTAAAGTTCTGAAATTCAAGAACTAAAATGTCAACTCATCATTAGATCTTATTGATATTCTATATTATTCTATCAGATTGCTATTTTAAAAAAAATTCAGAAATGTATTATTATTATTAATGAACACCAAACGGAAGAAAAATTCTCTTGTATGCTTTTAGCGCCGCAAGTCATTTAATGTATTACATTCATTCTTCAATATATATATATATATATATATCAAATTCTATTCATTATTAAGTAAAAGAAAACTGTTTTTCTCATAATTCAGTATCGAGTTTGATATTCGTACTAAAAATAAATCAAACCTTGGTAAAATGGAATTGCATTGGATCATCTGTAGATAATGATACACATAAACCACGTTCAAAATATTCCAACATTGGATTACGATTATAATTAATAAATAAGGAATTATTACTTAATGGTGACATTGCAATACCAATCTGACATAAATAAAATAAATATTGTAATACAGGAGTCTAAATAAAGAAATTTTAATACACATTTAACTGATTTAAAAAAGAAAACAAATAATTTACTTTGCGTAGAAGTAAACCATGTGAAATATTTTCAGCAACCATATAAGCTGTAACTAGATGTGTAACAGCACCAGCTTCACCACAATGTGGACGAAATTGATACGTATTTAAACCACGAGCTCTGAAGAATAAAAAAAAAAAAATTCGTTAATTAAAAAAAGAAGCAAATTTCATTCTCCATCATACCTTCGAAGTTGATTTAATGAAAGAATATTTGCATACATATAAAACTAAAAGAAAAAAATAATAAATTCATGCCATAATAGAATTATTTGATTTTTTGTTTATACCAAATAATAAACGTATGGTGGATTGTCTTTCATATTCCATTCTTCTGGATGTGGCATATCAGCCGTAATAATTGGTCTTTCAGGTTTGGTTTCATCATCAACAGAATCAAAACCTGTTAAATGATGCATAAAACGAAATAAATCTGGATGTGATGATGGATCAATTGTTGCATCAAATAATGGTTGAAATAAATTTGTTAAAAATTCTTGAAAATTTTTTGCTATACCATTTGCATGATAAACATCACTAAATTGAAAAAAAAAAGGAATTTCTTTTTTGTTTTGAATTCAAATATAAACATACTAAAGACGAGGTATTTGTACCATCCAACTAACATTTGCTGAATACATTGTGTTTGTAACACACCATTTAGCTAATTTATCCCATTCATCACTACTTTTACCATATATTGATAAACGAAGTTCTGCATGTTGATATTTACTATCTTCTAAATCAGACATAACTTCCTGAAAGAAAAAGAAAAGAAACTTTTATATTGAATAAAATTTTAGAATTTTTACTTTTAATAAATCAGCAAAGAATACACCTTCAATATAGTTGTCAGTTTTAATAAAAATTTCTCTAAAATTATAGAAGCAAAACAATAAAAAATGTAATAGCACTTAAAATTAATCGTATACTTAACAGATGATCTTGTTGTCTTCATATTTCTCAAGAGGAGTTTAGAATCTTGAGATGTAAGTTTTCTGTAAAATTTAACTCTTCGCACACCTCATACTTTAATATATATATACACGTCACAATAAAAACACTATGTATTTCATGATTTCCAATATGAGCAATGTTTTAACAATAACAGAGAGTAAAGCTTCATTAAAACATTGTTTGAAATCATAAAATACGTACTATTTAATTGTACACTTTACATGCCTTTTTGACTATCTTGCGGTATAGGATATTACGTAGCAGCAGATTTACTAGATGGTATCTTCCCTACAGACATATTAACTAGCTACAGGATCAGCTGTATATCACAATGTAGTCACTCTCGAGGGAATCTCTGCAGATGTCAAATCGCTTTTCTATCGAGATGATGTTCATTTGATGAATAATACAAAAATTTAGAATAGTTGAATTTTTCAACAAAAAGCTGTAGTTCCTCTCAAATCACGTGGAAAATCGATTTTCGACTTCAAACTTTGCATGAACAAAGCTCTCAATGAGATAAGTACATCGGACAGCTTGAAACGTTTTCTAGTATTTTCTATCCTAAAATACTCAATATTCGAAATTTTTTTATGCATAAAAGCGAATTTTATTCATATGTTTATATCTGTAAAAAGGAAAAACTAGTTGCACAATCAACTAATTTCATTAAAAAATTTATACATGGAAAGTTTGAAGTCGGCACTCCTATCTCGAGAATGAAGATCCTGGAGACCAAATCATTCTGAATTTTCCTATTACCTTCATCGGTTAGACATATGATTAATTTCAAGTGCTACTGTTTTTGTTTTACCTTAAAGCACTTTGACCAAGTGGATTATATTTAGCATTGAAACGATCAAAACGTTGAAACGTATTTCGATCCTAAATCAAGCAAAAACAAAAATACTAATGTTGAAAAATTGATTTTGAATTTCTTACAGCATGAACACCAAGCATATCAACACTTAAATCATAAGCTGTAATTTTTAATTCATCAAATACTTCCTTTAATGTCATTACTCGTCCATCTTTTGTTTTA